GACGCGCGCCTTGGCACGAGGGGTGTCGGCCGCTCGCGCGCGACTCTGAAGACTCCTCTTCTTCTTCTCTTTTGTCATCTCGCACTTCTCTCTCTCTCTCTCTCTCTTATTCTCTCTTTTGTGCCGAGCGTAAAAAACGATTTATGAACGGTGACAGTACCTGCGCCCGCGTGCAACGGAGCACCGACGCCGCAGCAGTAGCAGTAGCAGCACTGCTGCAGCACCGCTTGGGCGATAACTTAAGTATGCGACTTATGTACAATGTACGTATATAGGCGGCCCTATTATCAAACGGACAAGAAGGAGCCGAGAGTATTTTTTTACGACGTTGGATATTATATTACAGGTGATCGTCCCCGTGACTTATTGTTTTACTGCCTATTGAATAATGCAGACTTATAATGTAGAGAGTTTATAATTTGTCAACGGTTAGTAGTATAGGCTTGGAGCGCGGAATCGTTAGAACCCGATGTGATAGAATTTATAAAATCGAACACGACTTTACAAATATTTTACTCGATATAGGATATGAGATTCTCAATTTTGTCTGTCCATAGTACGAATAAAATAGAAATGAAGATGGCGAATCCTGCTTCGCAGAAAAAAAATGTTTCAATTTCGAGCGAAAAAAAAATCTCTCCCGTTCTTTCTCTCGCTAAAAAAGTATACAAATATAACCGGCTACACTCAAAGAGCAAAGCCGTGTAAACAGAACGTCTTGTTGTTAACGTCCAGGATATTACTGTTTAATATTTGTACCTGGAAAAGTGGAGAAAAATTGCTCGCAAATCTCTCTCTCTTCATCCCAGGCTAATATTACGTTGCGACAAATGCTCTCTAATTACTCAACTGCGAAACTCATTACGTGTACGTCCTCTCGACTGTAATGCATTGACTTAGTTCTCGATGTGTAACGTATATACGCTCGTACGCACGATTCCATTGAGTATGTTATACGCTCGAGGTTCAGGCTCGATCAAAAGAATACTCTGAACGTCATTGCATAAAATATATACGCATTATTATACCGATGCTGCTGTAGAGCCGAGCTTATGTAACGCGCGCAAAGCATCGATGTGTCAACTGCGCGAGATCTTTTGTATCGCTCGCGTGCACACACAAGCGCGAGAGTCCGTCTGTTATATCTCTGCTCGAGGCAGTTAGATGTATAAAATCGGACGCGCTCGTTATAAGCGACGAAAAAATTGGAACGGCGTTGGGCCGAGATCGATCGTGTCGAATACTAATACGCAGAAACAACGAAATAAAACACAACACACGACGACTGGTCGCACACCGAAGCTCGCACGCTACTACACGGCTCCCGCGCGCAGAAAAAACGTTATTATTACGCGACCGGCGAGCAGCGCGTTGGATTGCTTCGAATTTGTCTGCAGTTCACGCGCGATCGCTCTCGGATTCGCGGAAAACAAAGTCGGTATAACGAACGACTCGTCCCCCCCTTTTTTGGGAGGAATTTTGAATATATCAACGACGATCTCGAGGAATATACCTTACCTGAGACAAGTCGGTGTCCTCGCGTATCTTGGCGTCGACCGATGGTTTGGCCGCTACCAAGTTGTCCTTCATCACGATCGCCGTCATCGCCAGCACGACGACGATGCCGAGGTTGCTGCTCCACATCCGCTTCATCTTCGTCGTTGTCGTTGTGTCGTCTTTCTCGAACTTTTTTTTTGTTGGTTTTGTCAATCGAACAACGAACACTGGTGTAGTATGCAACGAATATCAATATTCACCACACGATCAGATGACAATTTTGAGAAAACTAAACCAAAAAAATTTTTTAAAACAAACACCACCAATCGATGTTCTTTTTTAGCAAAAAAAGGTGACGACGCACTGGTCTCGCGATTATCTTACACTCGTCGTACAAGTTTATTCATTCATCATTTTTTTTCGTATAATCTTTTTTTCAAACACTCGCGCTACGCGGGACGATATAAACAAACTCTACATTCAGGGGCCCAAGAGAGAGAGAGAGAGAGGAAAAAAATTATGGCACGCGTGATTATAACAGCCGGCGTTTTTCAATGACACTCAAGAGAGAGAGAAGCCGCCTATCTAATAACACATGCACACACTCGGCGGCAAAAGAGAAAGGACTGAGCTGCGAAAGAGTTAAAGCGAATAAAACATATCACACAAGCGGCGCAGGTATATTATACATGTATGTATAGACAACTGCTCGGTGTATTTTATAGAATATAACGTACATATACGTGTGTATGATACGGACTCGGGAGCGCGTGTGCTTACGGCTCGGAGGATGGCGCGGTACTGCGCCCTCGAGTCGGGCCGAGCCCCCCTTACCCCCGCTCTCGACCCACCGACGACTTCGGGCGCAGTAGCAGCAGCAGCAGCAGCAGAGGCAGAGGCAGCGCAACTCGCCAATGTGTGCTATGTAGAGACTCACTGCATAGATATATAACCTATGCTCTCTGCACAGTCACGAATACAGTAGGACGGCAGCGGTTCGTTGTCGTCGTCGTCGTTGACTAGGTCGGGCTGTACACAGGTGATGCGTATTTTTGCTGCTCGAACGCATAAGATGGTAAACGAGTATTCAGCTTTTCTTATTACTTCGAGAAAATAGGAACAGTCGAGGCAGTCGTGCCTATAGATGTGTCGATTTTTTCTTTTAGACGATTATCACCGTTGGACGATTTGGAAATGGTTTGGTCGCGGATAAACATATATATGCGGGATTTTACAAGGAACGAAGAAGTCGAGTCGACTCGATATGCGGGCGCAAACACGAAGTCAAGTCGCTCGACGCGCTTCGAGATGCGGGATGAAAATCGACGATACGTGACGACGATCGCGTTCGTGGGTGAAGATGAATGATGTAGTTTTACTCTTGACGAGTCCCTTGCTCACACGTGTGTTTATTATCAAACGCAACGGGTGATTTTCATGCGCTCGTCGATCGGCTGCCGACGAGGTGTAACGAACGTTGGGCTGCACGGCATAAGTGTGAGAGTGTCAAGGCTGCGTAACTAATGATGTTTTCAAACGAAATCGTTCGAAAACGGTGACTTTTGTTCGCGGCAGAGCTGCGGGGTAGGTTCGTTTGGCCGGATGTACGTTATGTTTAAGTGATGAGGCGAAAATGATGAGATCAGCGGAGATACAATAGATTTTCATTTTCATTTGTAGTTACTTCAAGATGAGAACTATTTCGCACTAATACTCGATGCTTTAAAATCGAATTTGATGAAAAATGAATTAAAGAGTTGATTATTATATTTGAATAAAATTAGCAATGAACGTCGAATTTTTGAATTTTACAACGTAACGCTTTTTTAAATTCCTGAGATTGTATCCTTGAAACCATACTGATTAACACACTCTTAACTGTTCATCTCCAAATGCAATTTATTTATTCGTTTAAATGAACTGTTTGAGGTAGTTCAACACCTTACTACTTCATTCCGATGAAAAGTATAACATTTTTACCAAAAATTATTACTACAGCGAAAAAGAGATGATAAACAAAAATATTATATGAGGTGAGAAGTATAATTGTTATTCCTCTCTATCATATGAATTGTATCGTGTGTCAATTTTTGCGCTTTCGATATCGAATACCTTGAAATAGCCGACACTCAGAGGAGTTGTGTTTACATTAACCCATTAACGCGCAAAAGTGCAATTTTGTGCATGAATTTTCCGTTGTAAAAAAATTATAGATAAAGTTAAAATATTTTCTTGAAAATCCATACCCAGGGGTTTTTGGGTATGCTCTTTCAGTATCCGGTGTTATTTTTGCGATAAATAAACATTATCATCGTTTATTTTGCCATTAAAAACAAAAAACGTGATTTTTTGACTCAAAATTTTTTTTCAAAGTCGATTTTCTACCTTGCCTTGCCTTCGGAGGGTTCCTATTACACCAGAAATCGTGCACTTTTTCTCTGAACCTTCAAAAAATGCGCTGCCGCGATTTTTATCTTGCCCCTATATTTCTAAAATGGCGAATTTATACCGAGCAGCGATATGATAATTGCCTTATTTTTTATTTGTAAATTATTGACTTTATTAAAGAAAGTCATACAATTGAAAGTGTTCAAATTTGTTCAAAGGATACATGTGAATTTTTTTAGAATTTTTTAATAATTTTTTCAAAATTTTTCAGATTTTTTTTGGAACATTTTGGATTTTTTCGACAGTCCGGAAAATGGTCGTATTTTGCAAAATTTTCAAAGTGGTCTGAAAAATTCTGAAAAAATTCACACGTATTCTCTAAACGATTTCAAATAAGTTTTTACACTCCAAATTGTACTTTTGAGTTCATATTTAGCGCATGTAAAATAGGTTCTGAGTAAAAAATGAGTGGATTTTTATACCGCTGCTCGGTATAAATTCGCCATTTTAGAAATATAGGGGCAAGATAAAAATCGCGGCAGCGCATTTTTTGAAGGTTCAGAGAAAAAGTGCACGATTTCTGGTGTAATAGGAACCCTCCGAAGGCAAGGCAAGGTAGAAAATCGACTTTGAAAAAAAATTTTGAGTCAAAAAATCACGTTTTTTGTTTTTAATGGCAAAATAAACGATGATAATGTTTATTTATCGCAAAAATAACACCGGATACTGAAAGAGCATACCCAAAAACCCCTGGGTATGGATTTTCAAGAAAATATTTTAACTTTATCTATAATTTTTTTACAACGGAAAATTCATGCACAAAATTGCACTTTTGCGCGTTAATGGGTTAATATTGTTAAGAACCGCAGCTTGGCACGTCTCGAGAATTAAATGCGATAATACACAATGATGATGAGCAGATGGCAGCGCCACCGAACGTCGATTGTCGAATCAGTCGAGTCGGATCACGCAATTAATTCAGTGCACACCACGACGCCTCAGTGTGAACAAAGGAAGATCGCATCGACTGTCGTCAGTGATTCTTGTGAAGAAAGCGAAAAATATCTTAAATTAAAAGCGATTGTGTCCGTGTTTGTGTGTGAGTGCGCATAAAAATGGCCTGGTATGAATACGATGATGCATTCCGCGTAGAGATCGAGTATAGCCGTTACGCCGTAAAGCCTTTCCTCGAGCTGGGGCAAGATCCCAACTGCCTCGAGCAGAAATCGGACGCCAGCTCAGTTGATCTGCCGCTAAACCGCGCACTGATAAACAGAAAAAATCAAAGGGCCTAATTTCTTTTGGAAAGCGGCGTGGATCCGAACTTGGTCAACGAGAACGGAGTGACTCCTCTGCACTGTATTTGTGATATTGACGACGACAACGAGGACTTGGCGAAGATGCTATTTGAGATCAGCCACAGAAAACTTCAGTCGGTGAAAGTCAATACCGTGGACAACTCGGGTCGAACACCACTACACTATGCTCTGAGAAAAGGCTGTAAAAAACGGATTGTCGAAATTCTGCTAAAAAATGACGCCGACCCGAATGTGGCCGATGTGGATGGATCGACTCTTTTACACATTCTTTGCAACAGAAGCCGATATTGGGATAAAAATGAGACATTGTCCGAGTTATTATTTTTAATCAAAGACGGTACGCATCAACCATTGCAAGTCGACGCTCAGGACAAGTGGGGTCGGACCCCGCTGCACTTGGCTCTGATACAAAACCAAGAAGATGATCCAACTCTTGCTGAGACAAGGCAAAATCCGAATTTGGCCAATGCAAAGGAATCGACGTCTCTGCACACTATTTGCGAGAGATGTTACGATGATGATATCATAAAAATGTTCTTCGAGATCAACGACGAAAGACATGAAATGGTGCAGGTGGATGCTCGCGACAATTTGGTAATACGCCCTTACACTCAATTCTGAACTCGGGTGGGAGAAGGACGCTGTTTGAATTTCTGCTGAGAAGAGGCGCCAATCCAAATGCAGCCAATGTAGAGGGATCGACGCCTCTGCATATTATTTGCAAGGAAGGCTACGATGTGTTACATATGTTGTTCCGGCTTACCGACGACAAATATCAGCCGCTGCAGGTCAATGCTCAAGATAAGTTAGGTGACACACCGCTGCTCCTGCACCTGAATTTGGACTCACACTGGTACAGAGACAGAACCGAATATTTACTGAGAAACGACGCAGATCCAAATTTAGCCAATGCAGATGGATTGACATGTCTGCATATCATTTGCAAGAAAAACTACTATCATGATGACCAGATGATGATAAAGACGTTGTTCGAGCTTAGTAATGAAAAATATCAGCCACTACTAATTGATGCCCAGGACAATTTAGGTAACACACCGTTACACTATGCTGTGGCCGAAAGCTTTGAAGAACAGACTGTCCGAGTGCTGTTGGAAAGCGGCACAATCCGAATTTGGCAATGTGGAGGGATTGACATAATGAGCCAGAAAGCAAAAAAATTGCGTGATGACAAAAATAACTTGGAGATGTTCTTCAAGATTGGCAAAGATTTTCGACAGAAGTTGCAAGTCAATTCCCAAGATAAATTAGGAAACACAGCATTACACTTGGCAGTAGGCTTGGACGACGGCTGCAAGAACTTGGTCGAATTGTTGCTCCAGAATGGCGCCAATCCAAATTTACCGAACAAATACGACTTAACTCCTGTGCATGTTATTTGTGCAAAAAATGAAGTGGTGGTGTCTTGACGTTGGCGGAATTCATCAAGTTAATTGAAAAACTGGTGTTGGTCGATGCCCAGGACAAGAGGGGTCAAACACCACTACACTATGCTCTGCCTCAAGGCTATAACAAAGAGACTGTCCAAGTACTGCTAAAAAACGGCGCCAACCCGAATCAAGTTGACGTGGAGGGATTGACTCTTTTACATATTCTTTGCAACAATGGTAGAGATTTTGGTAAGAATGATGTTGATTTGTCCGATCTAGTTTTAATGATCAAAGATGGTACACATCAGCCACTAAAAGTCGATACCATAGACAAGTATGGTCGGACACCACTATACTATGCTCTGCTCCAAAGCTATAATAAAAGAATTGTCCAAGTACTGCTAAAAAATGGCGCCAACCCGAATCAAGTCGACGGGGAGGGATCGACTCTTTTACACGTTCTTTGCAACAGTGATAGATTTTTTGATGTTGATTTGTCCAATCTATTTTTAAGGATCAAAGATGGTACGCTTCGGTCACTAAAAGTCGATGCCATAGACAAATATGGTCGGACACCATTGTACTTAGCTTTGATCAACGAGAACATAGAAGTAGCCGAATCGCTTATGAGAAATGGTGTGAATCTGAACTTGGCCAATGCGGAGGGAATGGCTATTCTGTCCATCATCTGCAAGAGACACCAAGATGACTTTCTGAAGGAGTTATTCGAGATATGCGGCAGATACATCCAGCAGACGGTGCAAGTCGACACCCCGGATGAGTTGGGACGAACACCGCTTCAATGAGCCGTAGCGAATCTTATGCCGAATGCAAATGGTATACTCTTGGATCATGGCGCCGATCTGTCTAACTTCGTTTTTCCCACCGAGAGTTACTTCGCCATGGCACTGGAGCCAAGGTATCATATGTTTGATTTTAAAGTGGGTTTGGCATCTCGAGCTGTGACCGTCGTCGAACGCCTTAAAAAAAGAGGATATGAACTGGACCCTAGTGACGTCCTGACCATCATGCAATTTCTCGCTAAGTATGAATTGTTCAAAAAGTCCAAGGATGTTGAAAAATTTTGGTATGATGACAAGAAGTTCGCGAGAGAAGCGAAAGAAGTAATGCTGAATTCGAGTCTGTCGCTATACGACTTGATTCAATTACGAATCGAGGAGGCGGAACAACTACTCACATGTGAGGACTACTTGAAGTTCGCGCACTTGGAAAACTCATGGAGACTCCGCCTAAAATTGAGTGAAGCTTGTACTACACATCTGTGCGAGATAATTATGAGAAGATTTTGCCGCCGATGGGCACTGCATTTTTTCATGGAGCTTACACATTACCGGCTTTCAATTCTTTGCTGCGAAAAAATCATGAAACAACTGATGAATGAAGATTTATGTAATATTTGTTTGGCGACTCAACGCTAAAGCTCGCTTCATTTTCAAGTCCGTCTTGCAGACGAAAAAATTATAATCGGTATGAAAAAACGGAGAAAATGTATGTAATTTACTTAATATGTATACTAGGGTGGTTCACTTTTTCAAAAAATTTTTATATCTCGGGGGATCCATCGGAATCAGAAAGTTTGAGGTTTAAAATAAATTTTCCCGTAAACTAGAACCCAAAAAAATGATTTTAGATGGTGTTGATGGATTTTTGAAGTTCAAAAACGTGCTCCAAAAACGAAGTAAAATCGGGCTATCATTCGATTTATTTCAAACTCTGTTAAGAGTGTAAAAATAATCTTGACAATATATTTTCTTATATGTTTTTGTCTGCAAAATCGAATGCCGTAGTCAGTTTTGACCTAGGAGTACAATTTCATTCAAAAAAATTCACTTTTTCGATCGTTCTTTTTCGCAAACTCCGCAAAGTTCATTTTCGAGCGAGTGGCAAATGAACAGAAAAAATCTAGAAAATTTTTTGACACCACCAAAATTTAGGATTTTTCATGACGAATCCAATGGTATAAATTAGTATACACTTTGAAATTATTTTAATGCAGAAAAATACAACTTTATCCCAAAAAACGACATTACAAAAAATTGAAAAATCGAAAAGTGTATTAGTTTCTTCCAGGAAATGGCTAAGTAGAATCAACTATGGAAAAAATTGCATGAAACTATCTGATAGGTTTTTTTCTCACCTTTCCAACGCCGGTTTCAGAAGTAAAAAATTTGCAAGATTCGCTGGGATACAGCTATTTTTGTACGATGCATTTTTTAGGCTTAAATTCTGCTTCGCTGGTTTTTTAATGAACAGAGCTAGCTCAGAATGATTGAATTTTAAGCCTAAATAATGCATCGTACAAAAATAGCTGAATCTCAGCGAATCTTGCAAATTTTTTACTTCTGAAACCAGCGTTGAAAAGGTGAGAAAAAAACCTATCAGATAGTTTCATGCAATTTTTTCCATAGTTGATTCTACTTAGCCATTTCCTGGAAGAAACTAATACACTTTTAATAAACAGAGTTTGAAGTAAATCGAATGATAGCCCGATTTTGCTTCGTTTTTGGAGCACGTTTTTGAACTTCAAAAATCCATCGACACCATCTAAAATAATTTTTTTGGGTTCTAGTTTACGGGAAAATTCATTTTAAACCTCAAACTTTCTGATTCCGATGGATCCCCCGAGATACAAAAAATTTTTGAAAAAGTGGACCACCCTAATGTATACGCGTATTTGTATAGTTTCGAAACACATATTTCTACAAAAATAATAAATTTAAGAATATTGTGTTGGCGATGTTTTGACAGTTTTCTAAAATCTTTTTGTACAACCATGAGTATTGCAATGTCAATATAAAAAAGCCATATCTGTAATATTTCTCAATTTCTAATTCTGTGTATTATTAAAATCATTTAAATAAATATACTAAATAAATTAATGAAAAAAATCAATTTCGATTATCTTAAACGGATTAACACACGAGTGAATTTCAAACTAACTTTGCACTCTTAAAAGTATCTTTTTTATCTTCGTTTTAATACAAGAATTGACTTTGTTATAGCTACGGCCATCGGATATTTTGAAGAACCTGTCAATGAAATTTCAAGTGAATGAACTTATTTATAATTGCATTCTGCTTTGACACCAACACCAATATCGATAATCACATCATTATAAAAATTTACATTCTTGATGCGCGCTTAAAAATGCATATTACTTGAAATTCGTAAGCGCAAACTTAGACAAAGCCAAGCGAAATTCGTCACGTCAACCTGCCCCGTAGTAGTCGTCGTCGTCGTTGGTAGCACGAGGCGCCACACACAAACACATAGTTGGTCCTCAGTCCTCCCAAGAGACTACAATAGTTATATACCATATGCCGGGCGGGAAAAGGACAAGTTTCTCACTCTCTGTCACGCAGAGGTTGGAGCTTGCTTGCCTTGCGCCTCACGAGCTTCGAAGCTCGGGAGACACACTGCAGCAGCACTGTGTCGAACTTTCGCAAAACGTTCGTAATTGGTACATATATATATGGCCGATTCTCAGCCAAATCGAATGTCCTAAAAAAATTTTTTTTGCTTAAAAAACTTGTTATTTTTTATATCTATCGACGAAAGAGGATTGCTTTGAAAAATATGAGAAATGGTCGTTTTTTTAATACTATTTGATTTTTGGTGGTTGTTAGATTTGAAGTCCCATTTCAAAAATATAGGAATAATTAAAATTGAAAGAATCTGTGAAATTTTTGAAAACTTGAAAAATGTCGAGTCAAAAAGCTCGCTATCCCTGTTTTTATGAATTTCGGAACAACTTCGGGCTTTTGAAAAATGGCGATGTATAGCCTTAAAAATTCTAATCCAATATGGGAATATCTAAAACCACAATTTTTTCATAATAAGGGAAAATATGTCTTAAGGCCATTCGATTTTCCTGAGAACCAGCCATATATACATAATTTAATGTAACCGTGTGTAAATGTATGTAGGTGTGCGAATATGACTGGGCCAACTTTGGCTCATTCCATTGCAAAAGCAGATATCCTCGAATAAGGTTTCCACGTACAGGACGACAGAATAAAGCACGCCGCGATAGATTTTGCACAACGAGTCGTGAAAATAAGTTCACATATTTAGTATATGTTAATACGAACGCGACGTGTTGTTGTGAACTCCAACGATTAACTACCCTTCAAATAGGTGCCGTGCTTGGGACGTTAATTTGTTCAATGCATCTCATGCAGGGCTCATGGTGCTCATGAAATACATAATTAGTGCGTTGGTCTTATATGCAGCTCTTGCATTAGCAATGATTGATTAATATTAAAAGATTACAATAATACAAGCTTTTCATCTTATCACCTTTTATTGAGCCTCCTCGATGGACTTGACTCGATGGTGAGGGAAATGCATTTCACTCCGAATTGAACCAACGCGGTTTATTGAATATAAAATTAATCCCCATATCGACTTGAACGCAAAATTCGCCCACTTGGTTCGAAAGCAACGATCCCCATTCAGATCATAATATAATTATTATCATCAACGGTACCATCGGAATCAGCAATCAAATTGTACGGAGGATTGTAGTTGCCTGGTATATGAGTATCTACAAGAAAAAAATTGCAAACGCAGATTTTTCAATCTATGAAAAACTTTGTGAATGAAACAGATGGGAGAATTAATTTAATATAATAATAATAATAATAATAATAATAATAATAATAATAATAATATATTTGCCAAATACTCCTTCTCAGTACAAAAATTACAGGAAAAGGACCTATAGAGAGCGATATCGCCCGTACATAGGATTGGTCCAATAATAATGATAGAAATAATAAAAAATAATAAAAAAAATAATAAAAATAAAATACGAAAATCCGGAGATTAATTCAAAACAACAACATGTGTTACAATTAAAATAAAACTGTAATGTATATAACCTAATAGTGTTTCCTATATCACAGTACGAAAAACGGAAAGTGTTTAAAGCTCACGCAGACTATATAGATATTTTTAAATTTTTTATGTAATTTTTCACCTTCGATTTCACTGCACTATCACTTGTTAAGTTCTTTAAAGAATTTGGAAGTAGATTAAAAACCTTGGCAGCTTGGTATGCGCAGATTCTCTGACCGATAGTAAGCCTCTGTCTTGGAAGTGTTAAACTCTTGAATCTTGTATTGACCTGTTTATTGTTATATGCATAACTATGCTGACGGTAATGTTTTACTATTGCTTTTATCACGAAAGCTTGCCGCAGGTTGGGTGGTTTTACTGGGTCAGAATCATTTATTTGGATTATTCTCAGTATTTTTGTTTGTAGTCCCTGTAATGTTTTCAATGCAGTCTCGTAGACTCCACCCCAACCAATAGTGCCATAAGTGGCCACGCTGTGGAATAATCCATAATAGATTTGCAGCAGTTGACTTCGAGAAAGTACATGTTGTAGCCTGAAGAAAACATATAACAGATATTTTGTTCTATTTACAATTCTATCAACATGTCCGGCCCATCTTATGCAATAATCAAAAATAGCACCCAGGTACTTCGCTCTTTCAACTTTCTTCATTGCAACATTGTTTACTAGGACTATTAGCTTTTCCGCCAGTACCGTCTGCAGGACTTTTACCATGACCAGCAGCAGTGTAAGTCCACACAGAACTTGTCCATTTAAATAGATTACAAAAGTAATTGAAAAGAAAAAAAAGGACTAATTTTTGAACTGTGTTGACGATACATCGCTCTGACCACAAACTTTTCGGACATGTGGAAATTTCTGTTTTATAGATAACAAAACTGGTTTGAGATGCGCCCAAGATGCTGCTGCATCGTGATTGAGACA